CCGGGCGAGTCGTTTGAAAGGTGACTTAAAAACTCTGGACAAATACCAAGGGCCCCGCCCCCACTCGATGACCTGCACCTAAGTCTGGCAAACTTCTTACCAGGATATGCGAACACCATGAGCCTGCTATCAGCAGCACCTGGGTACACACAGGTTCGGTACCGTAGCAACCAACACGGGTGCGCTGGGAAACATCTCGCAGTCACTAGGTGGGGGGGTTGGCAGCTCAGCGCCGAGGCCGTCGCATTTCATTTACCCGAGTTGAATTTCAAAGCCCCTCGTCACAGGTTGTGACAAGCTTGCTGGAACTCACCAGTTAAATGGAAACGGTTGAGATGGCCACTGGTGGTTGTTGTGCCATGCATTTACAGCGCACTCACGTCAGCACGTTGCCAGATGGCACTGGCCTGTGCCTGCTCCAAGTATATGCTGAACATAAATAATGCAATTCTGCGAGTGACGCCATAAGGGGCATCTGAAGCAACGTGCAGAGGCCTGTTAACCTGCTATCATCTTGTGAGGCAGTCTGGCTGTGAAGAGCGCAGTTTGGCTGTGGCTGTCCGCTCTGGCAGGATATGTATGCAGGAATTGATCCTACACACGGGGCAAACGCAAGCTGCGTTCGACTCGGATGCAGGCGTGCGCATTTAACCAAGGCATCCTTCCTGCGGCCATGCTGTAGAATTGAGCACATCGAGGAGGGCGGGCAGGTATCAAAAATGGTCCTTTGCCCGCGCTGCAGAGGCGGGCACACACTCAGTGATTGTTTGAACAAGCAATCGTGCCTGGCACCAATTTATTGAGCCGCAGCAGGCGCCCCCGTGGTACGTGGCCCATGGCAGGGCGCCGGCGCGGCAACTGCTCGCCGCCGCAGGGCCTTCTGCCGCACAAAATGGAACACAGCCTGCAGCAGGGGGGGACGTACCCTGCAGCGCAGCAAGGAAAAGCAAACGGCAGCAAGCAAGGAGCACCATTGCATGAAGAAGCATGAGAGCGTGGGGGCAACGCTCCAACAAAAATTCGCATGGCAACCTCATTCAAGTGCCGGGGTGACCCAATATGACCCCAGGTTTGGAGCTGGGGCTGTCAAAGGGGCTGGGGCCGGCGGGCAGGCACGCCCGCGCCACAAGTAGGCCGGATAAACCCATGGGCGCCGCGCGCCCGCCAGCAGCTTGCGCGGGTAACCGGCGCCGCTGGCCCTCACGGGGTCGCCGAGGGGCGGCGCTATGCGGCTGCGGCCTCGCGGGCGCTGCCGCCCCATGCATGGCTGCACCGGCCGAGCTCGGCCACCGGCAGATGGTCTTGGGGGCGCGGCCAGCAGTGTGTGGCGGCAGCCACCCCTGCAAGCAGCCGCTGCGGCGGCGCCGGGCGGTGGCAGACACGCGGGTGCCGCGCCGGCGGCGGGCGGAAGAGGGAGAGGCCGCAAGGCGCCCGCACCCCAGCGCCACTACTGCGCAAATGCAGGCTGCAGGCCCGCGGCCACCGCGGCCCAGGCTGTGTGCAGGAGCGGCGGCGTCGCACGTGGTGACTCCGCGACCCCACTGTAAAGCGACCCCTGCGGCTGTGGGCCGCCACCGTGCTCTTGCAGGCAGCAGGAGGGCAGCGCGGCAGTCGAGCTAGTGGTCTTGACTCGGCCAGGCTGGGGTAGCCCATGCTGATGGCCGGCGCCGCTGCCTAGGCACGCCCCTGGCCGCGCCGCCGCCGCATGACCTGCAAAGTGGAGGTGCATTGGGCATGGGTGCGAGTCTCCTGCGGAGTGCAGAAGCAGCCACACATTGCACATGCACATGCCTTTCCATAGCCCGCTTGAATCCCCATCGCGCACGCGCGGCTTCTGCCATCCATGTCCCTACTGCAAGCCCTGCCCACCTTAGTCATCCTACGTCCTGCCATCGCGCGGGCAGGGCTCGCCCGGCTTGGGCTTGTTGTTCCGGGGCCCGACCAGCGCCCTGCCAAGCCTTGGGTGGGGAAGGACACGCCAATGTGCAAGGGCTGTGCTGAGCGCTGAAATTTGGACATGCAAAGGTGGAGCTGCCAGTTTTTGGAGGAGCCGCCAGTGAGTGCAATGCGCTCGCTCACCAGCCGCCGGCCAGGTTGTCGCACGTGCGATGGCTGAACTCCGCCAGGCCTGCCGCCGCAGCCCCTGGCAGCGCCGCCACCAGGTCGGCGCCAAACTTTGAAAGCGCTTCTGCTGCTTCTGTTGCTGCTGCTGCTGTTTCTGTTGCTGCTGCTGCGTTTGCTGTTGCTGCTGCTGTTGCGATTTCGACCGGTCCGTTGGGCCTGAACGTCAGCCACAGGGCAAGCGCTGGGAGCACAAACGTAGCGAGCAAGTCGCGAGCCAAGTGCCACCGCTCTCTGCGCCGCTGCTCCCGCTCCTGGCGCTCTTGCCGCTGCTGTTGCCGCCGCGCCCGGCGCCGCCGCTCGTAATCCTGGCGCTCCTGCTGCTGCTCCTGCTGCTGCTCGTAATCCTGCCGCTCCTGCCGCTGCTCCTGCTGCTGCTCCTGGCGCTCATGCC